AGGATGGTCTTGATCTCTTGACCTTGTGATCCACCCGCCTCGGCCTCCCAAAGTGCTGGGATTACAGGCTTGAGCCACCGCGCCCGGCCAATTTTTGCTTTTTTGAGACGGAGTCTCACTCTGCTACCCAGGCTGTAAGTGCATTGGCTTGATCCCTGCTCACCGCAACCTCTGTCTCCTGGGTTCAAACTATTCTGTCTCAGCCTCCCAAGTAGCTGGGATTATAGGCGCCTGCCACCACACCCAGCTAATTTCTGTATTTTTAGTAGAGGGGTTTCACCATGTTGGCCAGGCTGGTCTCAAACTCCTGACCTCAGGTGATCCGCCTGCCTTGGCTTCTTAAAGTGCTGGGATTACAGGCGTGAGCCACTAGGCCCAGCCTAATAACTAAACTTAAAAACAAAAAAAAAAAGAATAAATAAAGCTAAAATCTTCAGTTGTGTGCTTGATCCCATTTATTCCTTCTCCTGGAACTTCATGTTGTCCTCTCTCCTTTATGGCTTCTTCCTACCATATTTGAACATGATCAAATACTCCACCTGCCATACACATGCAGAAAATCCTTGCCAGAATTTCATGTCCTTTCTTATGGCTCCAGCTTTTGTTTATTCTTCCCTATTCACAATCATATTTCAGAATGAGATCTTCATGTTTGTTCTCCCCACTTCATCTCCCGTTTCCTACTGAATCCACTGCTAAACAGCTTCTAGGCTCAACACTCATTACTATGGTTGCACCCTATAAAGTTTCTTTTCCCAAATCCAATGGCCATTTCCAGCTCCTCCTGTTTCCTCTGAAAGCCACACACTCCTGGGCTATGTTCCTCATCTGTTGTCGATGGAGTCCTCTTTCTTCTGCTATGAATTAAATACATTGGTAGCCCTCTGGCTTCCCTCCTCAGTCCTCTGCTCTTAGCATACTTGGATAATCTCATCTACAAACTACAATCATCATTTTTTGGTCTATCATTCCCAAACTTATATCTCTAGAACAAATATCTCTCCTGAGCTTCAGACTTACAAATCCAATTGTCTACCGTTTATTCCCTTTTACATGTTTCATAGGCTACTTAATATTAAAATAATATCTAATCCTGAACTAATCCTATTCCCGTCCTCTCTTCATCTAACTTTTCTTGCTGTTCCTCCGAGTACCCTATCTCAGTGACAAAATCTATGTTTTTAGCTGGACTTGGTGGCATGCACAGTCTCAGCTACTAGAGTGGCTGAGGTGGGAGGATCACTTGAGCCTAGGAGGTTGAAGTTGCTGTGAGGCTGGATTGAGCCACTGCACTCTACCTGGGGCAACAGAGACCTAATCTTAAAAAAAATCTAGGTTTTATTCTGTTTCCCTCTCATCCTCTAAGCCACTGAGTCCTAACAATTCTATCTCCTAAAAACGTCTGAAACCTATTCATGTTTCTCAGTGTCCACTGTCACTGTTCAGTATAGTGGTTAAGAGTGCCCTTTCAGAAGCTAGACAGTTTTCTGGGTTCAAATCCTCACTTACCTCACATTTTCCAGCTGCATGATTCTGGACAAGTAACAACCTCTCAAGTGCCTCTGTTCTCATCCCTCAAAATATGTGACTTAGCATTAGTTCAGATCACCAGCATATCTACCATAGATTACTCCTATGGCATCTTAAGAGGTCTCCAGGCCTCCAGTATGGCTTTTCTCCAACTGAGTCTCCTAAGTGTGGCCAGCAATCTTTCTAAAATGCAAATCGAATCATGTTATTCCTTACTTTAAGCCCTTAAATGATTACCCACTGTCTTCAAGAAAAGCTTTAAGCTCCTTAACAATGCACATACGGCCTTTAAAAATCTGTCCCTGTTAAATACTAAACCGGTCTCTCTCTTATTGCTCTTCTCTATCATGTGGAAACCTCAGGACTTACCATGCTATTCTTTGCATATGCTGTTCTCTCTGCCTGCAAGCCCTCTCTCTACTAAACTCTTCCCACCTGTACATACAGTTGGCTAGATCAATGGATACTGCTTTATTTCTCTGTTGGGTATCCCTTTTTTTTTTTTTTTTTGAGGAGTCTCGCTCTGTTGCCCAGGCTGGAGTGCAGTAGCACAATCATGGCTTGCTGCAGCCTCCGCCTCCCAGGTTCAAACGATTCTCCTGCCTCAGCTTCTCAAGTAGCTGGGATTACAGGCACATGCCACCATGCCTAGCTCATTTTTGCATCTTTAGCATAGATGGGGTTTCACATTGTTGGCCACGCTGGTCTCAAACTCCTGACCTCAGGTGATCCACCCACCTTGGCCTCCCAAAGTGCCAGGATTACAGGTATGAGCCACATGCCCGGCCAGGTGTCACTTGGCCTTCCTGCCTCCTAAATCACACCAAGTAGGTCCTTAGCATCCTCTACCTACCACTATCTTAGCTTTTATTTGTTAGTCTGTAATAATTGACTCTAAGTTCCTTGAGGATAGTGATTATGCCTTATTCACAACTATACTCCCCAGTGGTTAGCATAGTGATGCACACACAGTAGAAATTCAATAAATATCTGTGGAATAATCAGTATGTACTGTTTGCACAACCTTTTAATTAACTGTATCTAGACTAAAATGATACACCTAACTAACCATGTCACCAGTTTACACAGCCCTTTAATGTAGAAGGGAATTTATTTTTATCACATAACCTATAGAAGAAATGATCTGAATACAAATACATTTTGTAAAATGCAAGTAATCTTATGTAAGATCAGCTTGACCGCCAAGTTTTGTTTTGTTTATTTGTTTTGAGACAGAGTCTCACTCCGTCACCCAGGCTGGAGTACAGTGGCACGATCTCGGCTCACTGAAACCTCCACCTCCTAGGTTCAAGCAATTCTCCTGCCTCAGCCTCCCGAGTAGCTGGGATTATAGGCATGTGCCAACCTCTAGTGATCCGCCCACTGCAGCCTCCCAAAGTGCTGGATTACAGCCACCCCCAGCCTGACTGCCAAGTTTTTAAAGAAATTTTTAAGATTACATTGAGAAAATTCTTAACACATAAGTGAAAAGAGACAATAAAAGGAGGTTTTTTTTTATTCAAAGGTATAACTGGATAAGTAGATTTGTTTACAACCATTCTTGTGAAATACTTTTTAAAAAAATACGACCGACTTCTTTGCAAATAGCAGACACATACCTCAACTATGATGACCTAATTTTTGGTGGATAATGTACATGATTAGGCAGAAATAGGCAAGCTCACACTGGTAGATTAACTATCAAATACTCAGTCAAAACTCCGTTTGTGGCCCCCACTTCTTGATCGATTTCTATTCCCACTTCGTCTTCTACCATCTTGTCGACTTCCTGATCGACTCCCTTGTCGACTCTGTCTACCTGACCGGCCGCCAGATCGACCACCTGACCGGCCTGACCGGCCCGACCGGCCACTTGACCAGCCACTCCTCTGTCTGGAATTAGAAGATGTGTTTCCATCATAATATTCTTCAATTTCAGGTAATTTGGCTGGCACTGAAAGTATCCAGTCGGAATCATGCCACTCTGCCTGTTAGGGGAATTTACAGGATTAATATAAATGCAAAATAGAAACCATAAGCAAACATGTAAGTACAGAAGACACCTTTTTCATATCTATTAGCTAAAGGTCATCTATCTGTTAAAGTGGAACAAAAATGAAAACAAAAAATAAGCGAAAACATTCAATTTTTGAGATCATAAATTCATATTCAGTTTATACATTCTAAAACAGCACTATTTGGTATCTCAGCACAAAGCAGATGCACTATTAATAAGTAGCGTGCAAAAAAATAAATAAGTAAAAAATAAAAACAAAATAAGTAGAGTGCATTGTTTTCAGCAGGTACACTGACAAGCAAAAAGTAAAAGAGCCCATGATGGAGATTAAATATAAGTCAACACCAGCCAAGGACTAAAAAATGCAGCCACTGGAAACACTTTGGTATTGAGTAAACAAGTGAAGATATACAAATCAGTAACCCATAAGAGCATCACAATTTTATATCTTGCTACACTAACTATTCCTTATTGTGATCATGAGTTGCCAAGGAAAGTTGTTACTGGCCAGACGCAGTGGCTCATGCCTATAATCTCAGCACTTTCGGAGGCCAAGTTGGGCGGATCATGAGGTCAGGAGTTCAAGACCTGCCTGGCCAACCTGGTGAAACCCCAACTCTACTAGAAATACAAAAATTAGCTGGACGTGGTGGTGGGCGCCTGTAATCCCAGCTACTTGGTAGGCTGAGGCAGGAGAATTGCTTGAGCCTGGGAGGCAGAGGTTGCAGTGAACCGAGATCATGCCACTGCACTCCAGCCTGGGTGACAGAATGAGACTCTGTCTCAAGAAAAAAAAGTTGTTATTAAGATATCCTGTTGCTCAGGTTATCTTTCTTTCCAATACCAGTACTTTTTGGGAAAAGACAAACGAACATACCACTGTGGCTTTGGCAATATATAACCAAAGTCAAAAAAATGCATAAACCTTTTGGCCAAGCAATCTCATTTAAAAACTCATCTTAGGCCGGGCGCGGTGGCTCAAGCCTGTAATCCCAGCACTTTGGGAGGCCGAGGCGGGTGGATCACGAGGTCAAGAGATCGAGACCATCCTGGCCAACATGG